TGGGCCCATGGTGACTTATTTAGCAGTTGTAATCACAAAAAACAATGGATTATTATGTATGAACACCCGGGGTAATGGTCACGTGTTGGTAAACAATGGCACAGTGAGCGTGAATGGTGTAGGAGACTGGCTTGGTGTGCGCGGTGACGGGCAGACGGGTACCGGACGGTCGCCGAATCACAGGTCTAATCACGAAATTCGAGGCCAATTTTTGCCCCAAAAAACTTGCTGAAAGTCGAATTTCACGAAAGTTGATGCTGCCGAAACTCGAGGGTCCACTGTACAATATATACATGTATATATATGTATATATATTATATATATTATATATATATATATATATATATATATATATATATATATATATATATATATATATATATATATATATATATATACATACATACTGAAAGAAAGAAAAAATTTCATCGTCATTCAACACTTTCACCATCACTCATACATAATCACTGTCTTTGCAGAGGCACTCAGATACAACAGTTTAGACATCCCTCCAAACTGCCAATGTCCTAAGCCCCTCCTTTAAAGTGCAGGCATTGTACTTCCCATTTCCGTGACTCAAGTCCGGCTAACCAGTTTTCCTGAATCCCTTCACAAAATATTACCCTGCTCACACTCCAACAGCTCATCAGGTCCCAAAAAACATTTATCTCCATTCACTCCTACTATTTAACACGCTTACACACGCTTGTTGGAAGTTCAAGCCCCTTGCCCACAATACTTCTTTTACCCCCTCCCTCCAACCTTTTGGGGACAACCCCTACCTGGCCTTCCTTCCCCAGTCCAAGTCATTCTACTTTGTTCCATTCTCTCAAAATGACCAAACCACCTCAACAGCCCTTCTTCAGCCCTCTGACTAATACTTTTGGTAACTCCACACCACCACTTAATTTCCACGCTACGAATTCTCTGCATAATATTTACACCACACATTGGCCTTAGACACGACATCTCCACTGCCTCCAGCCGCCTCCTCGCTGCAGCATTTACAACCCATGCTTCGCACCCATATGAGAGTGTAGGTACCACTATACTCTCGTACATTCCCTTTGCCTCCATGGATAACGTTCTTTGTTTCCACAGATACCCCAATGTACCACTCACCTTTTTTTCCTTCATCAATTCTATGGTTAACCTCATCCTTCATAAACTCATTAGCTGACAAGTCAGCTCCCAAATATCTGAAAACATTCACTTCTTCCATACTCCCTCCAATGTGATATCCAGTTTTTCATCACCTTACTCTTATGTACATTCTTTTACACACCCTCCCAAACTCTTCCACTAACCTTTGCAACTGTTCTTTAGAATCCCCCAAAAGCACAGTATCATCAGCAAAAAGTAACTGTCGACTCCCATTTTGTATTTGATTCCCCATAATTAAATCCCACCCCTCTCCCCAACACCCTAGCATTTACTTCTTTTACAACCCATGTGTAAATATGTTAAGCAACCATGGCGACATTACACATACCTGTCTAAGGCCTACTTTTACTGGATAGTAATTTTTCTCTCCTACATACCCTAACCTGAGCCTCGCTATCCTCATAAAAACTTAGTAACTTACTACCTATTCTATTGTAACATCTGCTACATTTCTTCCTATCCACCTTATCATAAATGCAATAAAAACTTCCCTACCTTTAAATACTGTTCACATATATGCTTCAGTGTAAACACTTGATCTACACATCTCCTACCCATTCTAAAGCCTCCTTGTTCATCTGCAATTCTGCTCTCTGTCTTACCTCTAATTCTTTCAATAATAACCCTACCATACACTTTACTTGGTATACTCAGCAAACTTATTCCCCAATAATTTTTACAACTCTTTTGTCCCTCTTCCATTTACATAAAAGAACTATACACACACACTGCCAATCCCTGTTTACCATCCCCTCTTTCATACATTTATTGAACAAAATTACCAACCACTCCAACACTATATCATCCCCTGCTTTTAACATTTGTCATAATCCCATCAGTTCCAGCTGTTTTACCCAGTTTCATTCCCCATAATGCCTAGTGCACCTCCCCCATACTCAATTCTGGCTCTTCTTCACTCCTAAAAGATGTTATACCTACATGGCCATTGCATGAAATTACTGCCTCCCTCTCTTCGTCAACATTTAAAAGTTCCTCAAAATATTTCTGCCATGTACCCAATACCTCCAGCTCCCCATCTACTAATGCCCCTACTCTGTTTTTAACTGACAAATCCATTTGCTCCCTAGGCTTTCTTAACTTGTTTATCTCCAAAAATTTTTCTTATTCTCAGCAAAATTTGTTGACAGTGTCTCACTCTATCATTTGCTCTCTTACTCTCTCACCACTGTTCCCCTTTCTTTTGCTCTCCATATACTCTACCCATCTTATATCATCTCTGCTTTGTAAAAACCTCTCATAAGTGACCTTTTTCTCTTTTATCGCACCCTTTACCACATTCCACCAATCACTACTCTTTCCTCCTGCACCCACCCTCCTATAGCCACAAACTTCTGTCCTGCATTCTAACACTGCATTTTTAAAACTATCCCACCTCTCTTTAACCCCCACTAGTCCACCTTCTGCCAGTAGTTGCTTATATCTCACCCTAACTTCCTCCTCCCTTAGTTTATAAACTCTCACCTCTTTCCTACTTGTCGTTGCCATTTTCTTTTTGCCCTATGTACCCCTTACTATGCTATACTATCGTATTGCATAAACTTCTATTTTTAATAATTTTTTATCTTGTTTCAACAAAAAATTAAAACTTCGTTTATAAGTACATTGAAAAGAACATACAACAGATTTTTCCTGTAATATATTTGTTAGTTACAAATTATTTTAGCTTAAGGTTGATGAAGTCATATGTCTGGCAGTCAGCATCTGGGGGGGGACTGCAGCTCTGCAGCTCTTATGGACGAGCCGCCAATGTGTGCATGTGTGCAAGTGCGCGTGCTCACCTAATTGTGGTAGCAGGGGTTGTCACAGCTCCTGGCCCTGCCTCTTCACTGGCCACTGCTAGGTCACTCTTCCTGCTCCATGAGCTGTGTGCGTGTTTGTGTGCATGTGTGTGTGTGCGCACGTGTGCGTGTGCATGCGTGTGTATATGTGTGTACTCGCCTATTTGTGGTTGCAGGGGTTGAGACTCAGCTCCTGGCACTGCCTCTTCACTGACTGCTGCTGGGTCCTCTCTCCCTGCTCCATGAGCTTTATCATACCTCGTCTTAAAACTCAGTATGGTTCCTGCCTCCACTACATCACTTGGCAGACTGTTCCACTTTCTGACAACCCTATGGCTGAAGAAATACTTCCTAACATCCCTTTGACTCATCTGACTCTTCAACTTACAATTGTGACCCCTTGTTTCTGTGTCCCATCTCTGGAACATCATGTCTCTGTCCACCTTATCATTCCCCTTAGCTCTGGAACTAGTCTTGTCGCAAACCTTTGCACTTTTTCTGATTTCTTTACGTGCTTGACCAGGTAGGCGAGTGTGGGTGTGTGTGTGTGTACTCACCTATTTGTGGCTGCAGGGGTTGAGTCATAGCTCGTGTGTGTGTGTGTGTGTGTGTGTGTGTGTGTGTGTGTGTGTGTGTGTGTGTGTGTGTGTGTGTGTGTGTGTGTGTGTGTGTGTTTGTCTCTCTGTCACAGGCAGAGCACAGAACCACAGCTGTTCCTGGGGACTCAGCAGCAAGCATTTTATGGCAAGGCAGTGGGTGGGCAAGGAGGGCATCCACTAGGGGTGAGCACAGGGAGCTTAACCTGTGACATTCCTGTCACAGGTTAAGCCATCTCTTCCTGTTAGTAAGACTTATGTTTCTGAGGCGAGTTGGGCAAACCGGTTATACAAGATTTTCGCAGGAGAATGCCATAAAAATGGTTTTCCAAATATTTAAATGGTTCACGTAAATCAATAACGAAGATGTTTTTGTGATAACTATATGTTAAACAGAATTTCTGAAACCACACATCTTGTACGTAGCTCGTTATCATTCATTTTTTGTGACATTATTCAAATTGTATAGAAATTGGAACTGATTTGCTTCATGTTCAATTTAAAGTTGTCTTTCAGTGACTGGTTTGCACTGTCTAAAATGTTGGAAATTTTTGTTCTAAAATATTTCATCTATTTTCCCAACTTTTGTTATATTCCGAATCAAACATTATTTTTCATGTTCATGTTCCAGTTTGATTATCAACTTTTTTTTTGATATGTAAATTTTTAGTTATTCTTTTGATTTTGAAAGAAGGAAAGCAGCTTGAAACATACTCAAATTAACCTCTTGAAGGGCTTTGCTTGTAAGATTGATATGGCTCAAAATGTCCCAAACAATCAGGCAACAGATAAATTTGAAACCATTAAATTTTTTGTAATGGAACACTCGACTTCAATCTGTTTCTTGCAGGTGTTAATGGCATTATGCTAATTTTCTGTACCCAAAAATTGGCCCATATGGTTTTGCTGAGTTCTTCTGATATCAGACCTTTTAAATTTGTCAATATCTTATTGTTGTACAGAAAAGAAAAATTGCAAATATGTTGAGAAATATAAAAAATTGACAACTTCTGTTCAACATATGGCTACATCATTAATCACCAAATATAATGTATGTGGAGAGCAAAGAACAAAAAGCACCTATGGATATGTTGAAATTTGTCTTTGCACCAAATTTTCTATATAGAATTTTTTTAAACTGGCAACTTGTTTTTGGTTGATTGATATTGAATGAGATAAGGGGTTGCACTGTTCTTGCTTTGGGAAATGTAGCTGAATATTTTTAATTTGCTGTTTTGCATATTATGCATATTATTTTGAAATATAGTTTGACAATGTCAGAATTATTACTTTTAGAGATTATTAACTTTGGAAATTATTTTAGATTATTTAGTATGGTATGTAATGTGTTAAGGAGTTAATACTTCACATAATTTCTTTTTTCTTAGTTTTAGGAAATCACAAGTTTTGTAATCTTTGATGTTCTAACATTTTGTTTTAGGTATGGTGGTACGGAGGCTGCCACATTCTGTGCATTAACTACCCTAAAAAGTCAAGTAGAGTTTGAGCAGCATTTGGATACTTACATGTATTGTAAACTTTATCATAACAGAAGACCAAGCATTTGGACGAGTCAGGTAAGCACTTATGCTTTTGTGTTGATGTGAGTACTAAACATGAGGGAGTGTGTTCTTAATTTACAGCACAGAAGAGGCCTTTTTGTCTTAAAAGTTATTAAAATGGAACATAACTATAATATTCTGTACCATTCCCAATATTGTCTCCCATACGACATCTCTGAATTCCGAAACACTTGAAGCAATCTCTGAATATATTGCAGAGACCAAACCATCAATGGACACTGATCCACCTTCCGCTCTTTCTCTCTCCTCTGCTCCATCTGCGCAACTCCTTTCTTCACAGCGCACCGTTCCTTCACTGCTTGAACATTTTCCACTGCCTCCGCATGTGGACTTTTCTAACCCTTCTAGTCCGTAGGAACCCTTACCTGCGGATTTCAAGTATCTTTATCATTGCCAATCATGGCCTTTTTACAGTGGAATATACGCGGCCTCAGGGGTAATCGGGGTGAGCTTCAGATGTTACTCTCCCAGTTTGCCCCTGTTGGTGTTTGCTTACAGGAACCAAAATTACATTCTGCTGTTATTTCTCACATCTCAGGCTATAATTTATTGTATTCTTCAGATCCTTTTCCTGATGGGACCTTTAATGAAAGTGCCCTTCTTCTCCGCACCGATATTCCGTACCATCAGCTATTTATTCATACTTCGCTGCATTACACAGCAGCCCGTATCCACTTACATGGGTTTGGTATACGCTCTGTTCTTTATATCTCTCTCCTTCTCGGGCATTATCTATTCCGGATTTTGCCTTCCTTGTTTCGTCATTACCGCCACCGATTCTGTTACTTGGTGATTTTAATGCCCACCATTTCCTCTGGGGAGGGTCTCACTGTGATTCCCGTGGAATTCAGTTAGAGGCTTTTCTTGCCACCCACCCCCTCCATGTTTTAATACAGGTACTCACACCCATTTTGATCCTCGGACTCATACTCTCTCTTGCATCGATCTCTCAGTTTGCTCTTCCTCCGCCGCATTAGACTTTTCTTGGTCTGTTTCTCCCGGACTTACATGACAGTGATCATTTCCCAATCATTCTTACTTCCCCTTCATATTCGCCACCTCTTCGCACCCCACGCTGGCAATTTATTCGGGCAAATTGGAACCTTTACTCACACCTGACTGTTTTTAAAGAGGTTCCTTCTTCGTCCTCCATCGATGAGCTTTTACACCTCTTCTCGTCCTCCGTTTTCACCGCAGCTTCTCATTCTATACCCCAAACTTCGAGCAGGCATTCTCAGAAATGCGTGCCTTGGTGGTCTCCTGCTTGTGCTCGTGCAGTACGTTTGAAACGCGCTGCATGGGGCAGGTACCGGTACAATAGAACCACAGAGCGACTCCTTGATTTTAAACAGAAGCGTGCGATCACTCGCCGTGTCATCCGTGACGCTAAACGCACTTGCTGGCGAGATTATGTTCTCCACCATCACCTCTGCTTCCTCTATGAGTGCAGTCTGGAAAAAAGTACGAAAACTGAGTGGTAAATATTCTCCTGACCCGGCTCCTGTTCTGCGGGTTGCCGGTGTTGATATAGCAAACCCACTAGATGTTGCCAATGAAATTGGCAATCATCTGGTCCGTATTTCTCAGGGACTCCATCTATGCCCTCATTTCTTTCCTCAAAGTCTGCCAGAGAGTTAGCACCCTTGGACTTTTCTTCTCTCAGAGAAGAACAGTATAATGTGCCTTTTACACTTCAAGAACTGGAGGCAACACTCTCAGCTTGTCGATCATCGGCAGCTGGGCCCGACGACATTCATATTCGTATGCTACAACATTTACATCAGTCAGCCCTTGCAGTCCTATTACGCCTTTACAATCTTATTTGGTCACAAGGAGTTCTTCCACAGCTGTGGAAATCCGCCATTGTTCTCCCTTTCCGCAAAACCAGGCACTACGGGACATGAAAACCTCCCACTATCGTCCCATTGCTCTTACCAGTGCAGTTTGCAAAGTAATGGAACGTCTAGTAAATAGACGTTTAGTGTGGTATTTAGAGACACACAACAGTCTCTCCACTCGTCAATATGGCTTTCGTAAGGGACGTTCTACCATAGACCCCTTACTGCGCTTGGATACGTATGTTCGTAATGCCTTTGCGAATAACCACTCAGTTATTGCCATATTTTTTGACCTTGAGAAGGCATATGACACAACTTGGAGGTATAATATTTTAGCCCAAGCCCACTCCTTAGGCCTTCGAGGCAATCTACCATCCTTCCTTAAGAACTTTTTAAACTGACAGGCATTTCCGTGTTCGGGTTAATAATGTGCTCTCCCCGGACTTTATCCAAGCTGAAGGTGTCCCCCAGGGATGTGTTCTGAGCACAACACTTTTTCTCCTTGCTATTAATGATTTGGCCTCTAGTCTTCCATCAAATATTTGGTCATCACTCTATGTTGATGACTTCGCTATTGCCTGTGCAGGGCGCTGACTGTCACCTCCTTACAGTTTCTCTCCAGCATGCAGTCGACCGTGTTTCCAATTGGGCCACCACACATGGGTTTAAATTTTCCAGCACTAAAACCCACCAAATCACTTTCACTAGACGCTCTGTCATCTCTGATCATCCTTTGTACCTCTATGGCTCACGTATCCCTGAACGTGATACAGTCAAGTTTCTGGGCCTCCTCTTTGATCGTAGGTTATCCTGGAAACCTCACATTACCTCTCTGAAGGCAACTTGTCACAGCCGGCTGAACCTTCTTAAAACCCTTGCTCATCTTTCGTGGGGAGCTGATCGTCGAACCCTCCTTCACCTACATTCCACCCTTTTATCGAAACTTGATTATGGTGACCAGATCTATTCAGCGGCATCTCCTGCTACTCTCTCTAGCCTTAACCCCATTCATCACCAAGGATTACGTTTATGCCTTGGTGCTTTTCGCTCTTCCCCTGTCGAAAGCCTCTATGCAGAAGCGAACGTTCCATCCTTATCCGATCGCCGTGATGCCCATTGCCTGCGCTACTATGTACGCTCTCATGATCTCCGTAATCCTTCCATTTATAGAATGGTCACTGATATTAGTAGACATTCTTTATTTGTTCGCCGCCCCTGCTTACTCCGTCCCTTCTCTCTTCGCCTTCATTCGCTCGTCTTCTCTTCAACTACCACCTTTCTATGTACATGTAGCATCTCACTTTTCCCTACCCCCCTGGGAAGTTCCAGCTGTTCGAGTCTGTTCTTTCTCCCTCCCTTGCTCGAAAGCCCAACTGTCTACGGTCGCTTCCCGCTCTTTTTCTTGACCACTTTCACTCTCATTCTCATGCCATTGCTGTGTACACAGATGGCTCTAAGTCTTCTGACGGCGTAGGATTCGCAGCAGTGTTTCCGGACAGCGTCGTACAAGGGCATTTACTATCTTCAGCTAGTATTTTTACTGCTGAATTATATGCCATCCTTACAGCACTTATCCGTATTGCATCTATGCCTGTGTCATCATTTGTGGTTGTCTCAGACTCCCTTAGTGCTTTACAGGCTATACAAAATTTGATACACCTCACCCCTTAGTCCTCCGTATCCAACTTTGGCTACGCCGCATCTTTACTAAGCATAAAGATATTGTTTTTTGTTGGGCCCCTGGTCATGTTGACGTACAGGGCAATGAACAGGCAGACACTGCTGCGCGGTCAGCAGTACATGACCTACCAGTTTCTTATAGAGGTATTCCATGTAGGGAAACTATTTTGCTGTAATATCTTCCCACCTTCACACCCGTTGGCAACAACGTTGGTCTACTATGCTCGGCAACAAACTTCAGTCTATTAAACCGAGTATAGGTTACTGGCCGTCTTCTTATCACCAGTGTCGAAGTTGGGAGACTACTCTCTCCCGTCTTCGCATTGGCCATACTCGTCTTACTCATGGATATCTCATGGAGAGGCGTCTTGCTCCTCTCTGTGAGAATTGCCAAGCTCCATTATCAGTCAGCCACATTCTGTTGGACTGCCCACTTTATCAACGAGCACGCAGAATTTACCTCTGTCGTCGTCTTCGCCCCGCTGCTCTCTCTTTACCTTCCCTTCTCGCTGATGGACCCACCTTTCATCCGGACTCTCTTTATTGACTTTTTGACAACGACTGACTTACTTCACAAATTCTGATACTTTCCGCCCTTTCTACTTGTATCTCTTGCTACCCTTTACCCCCGTACTATCCCCTGCCCCGCTGTTTTCTGTAACCTGCTGATCATCCCCCCTCCCTTCTGCCATCCAATTCCCTTGCTTCCTTCCCTACCCTGCAGCGCTGTATAGCCCTTGTGGCTTAGCGCTTCTTTTTGATTATAATAATAATAATATAATATTCTGTCAAGATCTGTGAGTTAAACAAGCATTTTATTCAATAGATGAACCCATAAAAATTTAAATAGCTTAAAATTGTTTAGATAGCATCTGAGACCTTGGGCTAAAAATAATCATTTCTCGAAAACTCTCTTAATTTGCGAGTCAAGAGAGCAGCAATATTTGCCAGCTCAGTTTCAGTGTGGGCGGTCACACTGGCTGACATTGTAAACAAATTACATTTTATAATTGAAGTCGCACAGAACAGCAAACCTTAACTGAACGATGCAATTCTGCTATTGCTGTGCATTCTGATGATTGATAAGAAACATAATTGAAAAACAAGCATGAGAAGCAGAAAGGTTGTTGAGGAACTCTGAGCAGATAACGTGTGACTATTATTTCTTAATTTTTTTTTTTTTTTTTTTTTTTTTTTTTTTATATATATATACAAATCGGCTGTCTCCCACCGAGACAGGGTGACCCAAAAAGAAAAACAATCCCCAAAAAGAAAATACTTTCATCATTCAAAACTTTCACCTCACTCACACATAATCACTGTTTTTGCAGAGGTGCTCAGAATATAACAGTTTAGAAGTACAGTGGTCCCTCGTTCATCGTCCTTAATCCATTCCTGGAAGTGGGACTGTTATCGAAATAGACGATTTTCGAACCATTTTTCCCCATAAGAAATAATGTAAATACAATTAATCCA